ACAAGAATACAGGCCAGTGTAACCACAATCAGTAGTGGTACACGCACCCACACAGAACTGCTGATACTGCTGCTGCTGTCTGCATCACCCTTCTTGTTGTTTGTGAGTTCAGGAGGAAGTGTTGTTGTTGTTGTTGTGGTGGTGGTGGTAGTGGTTGTTTCTGTATTTTCCACATTAGATGAGTTAGTTTGAGGTTCAACCACTGGAGAAGTAGTGCCATTTCCAGCGTTTGTAGTATCAGAACCACTTGCATTATCTCTCTCTGAACTGCTGGAAGAAGACGAAGAAGGTTGTGTTGCCTCAGCATTCGCATTATCTGCTACACCTTCACCTGCTGCACTGCTGCCGCTGCCTTCATGTTGACTGTCGCCTTCAGTCGGAGCAGGACTCTCCTCAGCAGAAGAAGAAGAAGCAGGTAGACCAGGTGCCTCAGGACGATCAGGAGAAGAAACACCACCAACAATACCGTTCACAGTAGCACCTGAATCAGGTTGTTTAGTAAGTGAATTAGGTTCCTTGTGTAAAGTTGGAGCTGGTTCCTTTGGTGTTGTACAACGAGCAAGAGAATCAGCAACACAATTCTCTTGGGTGTCACCACCATCGGTAGTACAATTCTTCTTAGCAGCTTCCGCGCAATTAGTGTGAGAATCTTCATCTTGACTACGAGCAGAAGGACACTGTGGACCAGAAGAACAAGTACCAGCAGCACCAACAGGACCAGCAGGGCCTGTCTCACCCCTATCATTTAGTACGCCTGTACCAGTAAGCTCTCCAGAGGCCACACTCACAGAAGCAACACTTAGCAGCATAGTCAGTAAATACAACACACGGTATAGCATCATCACCACAAAAACAGTATTTTTCCTCTGTTTAAATCAGTTAACTACAAGAAGAAAACAAAAGCAACAAAATGGATAACTCACGCAGAGAAAAAAGAAAAGAACAAACAGCAGTAAAACAAAAACAAACAACACAAACTCTACGAAATCCATTAACACTGCGCCACATAAAATGTCTCAGAGAAATCAATATCAAAAACAAAACAATTAAGTGCAGGACCAAGGACTCACCAAACACAGAAATCCAGCGAACAATGGGTATGCTTGACTTAATATGCAATTATGAAAATATATTTTCCTATTATTATGTCCGTTTCACCCTTCAAAGAAGAACACATTTTAACGATGCAGGTCAAGACACACAGCGCACCAGCAAATCACAAACAAACAAAGGTATTAATCATTAGCCCATCGTACCCAGTAAACACAGAGATACACCAACTATGGGTATAAGTCTATATGTGTATACGGAATTAAAAATATAAATACGTATCTGTTATCATTACTTCCTTTTCCCCACTGCAAAAAACAGTTCATCATTATCACAGTGCAAGCCCAGGTGCACACACAGAGAGAGTCTCCAAGAACACACACACACACACAATGGAGTAGCAATAATAATTATTATAGCAAAAACACACACAAAACACATTAACATTAAGAAACAAAAAAAGAAGAAAGAAAATCCCCAACAGGTTGAAGATTAGTTAGACTGTAGGGATAAATGCAAGAAAAACAAAAAGAAAACAAAGGATGACCTGAGTCAGAACACCAACATTACAATCAGCACACAAGAATACAGGCCAGTGTAACTACAATCAGCAACGGTGCTGCAATACGCATCCTCACAGGACTGACACTGCTGCTGTCAACATTAGCCTTGTTCTTCTGTACAATGGGGGCAATGCTGCTGATCTCTGCGTTGGGTACAGTAACAGGAGATGGAGTGGTGGTTGGTGCTTCTGTAGTAGTGTTCTCGGTGATCGGTAGAGTGATAGAAGTGGAATTGGTTTCTTGTGAGTCTGGTGCGGCAGCAGCACCTGCAGCTTCAGGAGATCGCTGGTTAGGATTAGAGTCATCAGGTGTACTGTTAACTGTTGTGTTACTCGACACCTCTTCGTTACTTTGTTTATCTGCAGTAGACTCTTCTCCTTGTCTTTCTGTTGTCGACGTACTTTCTGAAATCCTACCAGGATGTGATTCACCACTCTCAGATTCACTGGGTTGTGTCACTTCTGGTTCACTGTCCGTCGCTTTTTGTTCTGAACCGTGGGATGACGACGTGGTTTGCGACGTTGTCTTATGTAGAGGATCTTCTTCCGCACGTGTATGAGAAGGAACCACCTCTTTTGGTGCCTCTGGTACTTTAGCAGGAGGAACTTCAGGTTTTTTAGGAGGAAAAACCGGTACTTTTTTCTCAGGAACAACTTCTTTTGGTGCCTCAGGTACTAAAGGAGGAGGAGCTTCTTGATTTTGAGGACATGTCTTAAGATTTTCAGAAGGTTCACTACCATCAGGGCATTTGCCATCAGCACGAAGTCCAGGTGTAACTTTAGCTTCCTTACATTCAGGAACTTCAGAAGTACCATTAGTGCAATTCTTAGCAGGAGGAGTACTCTGATTAAGAATCTTCGTCTCACTCTCCGTATCATGGACTTGGTCGGAAAGATCGGCGGCAGGCACTTCTTCAGCGAGGACGTGCACACACGCACATGAGAGCAGGAGAGCGAGGATACACAGCACGTAGCGCATCATTATTATTATTATTCCAATGGTTGCAGGTATTGTGGATATCGTTGCACCTGTGTTTACTTCAATGGAATGCATCAAAAAAGAAGGGAGAGAAGAACAGCAACAAACATACATACACAAACAAGTACAACAAATACTCACAGTGGAATAGAGAGAAAAAGAGTGAAGCAACTGCACAGTAAAGCAACAAAAAGGAATATTCCGCTTGTAATAATAATATGTATCCATTAATAGAAAAGAAAAGCAAAGGAAACACCACACAATACCCCATGGCTCTAGTTTATGTATATTAAATTACTCCGCACACACACATCTGTGTGTACTAGCAAGAGATGTATACCGTCAGTGAGCAGAACAGTCCTGGTTTTCTGCACAAACACACACAACGGGAAAAACAAGTAATGGAATTATTAGCAAAAAAACACACACAGATAAAAGTAAAAAATAAAATAAAATAACCTCAAGAGTAGCACAAAAGAGAAAAATAATGGATAAGATAAATAAGTTTTTCTTTTATTTTTTTCTCATCCATAAAAAGGAGTAGTACACCCTTTTCATTTTCATGTTGTGGCTTCGGGCCATTTCCTTTTAACGAAAAATGTCTCCAATGTCTTTCTGAAAATATGGGTAATGCAAACCCCTTTTTTTTTCTTTCTTTGATTTTTTATTCTCCATATCTGCCTTCACTAGTATATTTCGCATCCTTCTCATTCTTCTTTTCTTTTTTTCCTTTTCAAGCTATTGGACTTCCCCAATATCACATTCACGCAAACCTCTATCCACCTCTCCTTTTTCTTTTTCTTCTTTCCATTCAACCTATTCCCAATTCCCCTAATATGGCCCACTAGTCTTGTACTTTCCTTGTTTCTCAACATCATGAAAGTCCCACCGTGTTGGCTTTCGGAAATCGTGTCGGGTCGGGAATATCTCTGGCATTG